TTGGATCTCCTAGGGCTGGCGCACCCCCCCCTTGGGATCCCTATATATAGTGGGGGTAGGAGGGCCTCTAAGACATACCTTTTGCCTTTGGTGCAGCCCCTCCCTCTCTCCCAAGTCCTTCTCCTCTCCCATGGTGCTTAGGCGAAGCCCTGCAGGATTGCCACGCTCCTCCACCACCACCATGCCGTTGTGCTGCTGTTGGATGGAGTCTTCCTCAAACCTCTCCCTCTCTCCTTGCTGGATCAAGGCGTGGGAGACGTCACCGGGCTGTATGTGTGTTGAACGCGGAGGTGCCGTCCGTTCGGCACTAGGATCATCGGTGATTTGGATCACGACGAATATGACTCCATCAATCCCGTTCACTTGAACGCTTCCGCTTAGCGATCTACAAGGGTATGTAGATGCACTCTCCTTCCCCTCGTTGCTGGTCTCTCCATAGATAGATCTTGGTGACACGTAGGAAAATTTTGAATTTCTGCTACGTTCCCCAACACTCGCACCTCGGCGACGCCGACGACACAGGAGCCGACATGGACGATATCATCGCGACAGGATCGACTGCGGCCGCCGCGTCTCCCGGGTTCGCCACCCAGGACGAGGTAGTGGATCTCAACGGCGACATGGAGGCCGAGCTTGGCTACGTCTACGGCGAGGACACGCACGAAGCGTAGGAACCCGAGGAGCAGGAGGAGGACGAGGAGGAGGAGGAGGAGGAGCCGGCTCCTGTTCCGATGAAGGGGCGCCAGAAGAAGAAGAAGCGGGCGGCTAGGTCAGGCGAACCGCGAATCAAGTGGACGTCCAAGGAGGAGGAATGCCTCGCCGAAGCATGGAAAGTCGTCTGCCTCGACCCGACCACCGGCGCGAACCAGAGCTTGGAGACGTACTGGGACCGCATCAAGGCCGAGTTCGACGAGCGGAAGCTCGTCGACCCGTACTTCAAAGGCGTCTACATGTAGCGCGGCTCCAAGGCGATGGCGAACCATTGGGGGCGTATCCAGTTGGCGTGCAACAAATGGCATGGAATCGTCGAGGAGGTCGCGGCTCGCCCGGAGAGCGGCGCCAGCGTTGAGGATCAGGTACGCACGCCGTTCGCCCGCATATCTTCGTCGGCTACGCCCTCCGCCCGCCAACTGTTTGTTCCTCCGCACAGCTGCTGCGTATGTTCGCCATGTATCGGGGCGACAACCAAGACACCGACTTCAAGCACCTCCACGTCTACAAGCGCATTGACAAGTGCAAGAAGTGGGCGGAAGTCCGACGTGCCCTCGACAAGGCCAAAGGAGACATAGAAGCCGGACGCGAGTGAGGGGCGGCCGGACGGCCACAAATTGGCAAAGAAGGGGAAAAACACCGACGCGGCAACCGCGCGAGTGCAGGAGTCCATCGAGCATTGCCTCGCCGACGCCCAGGCCCGGGCCGTCCTACGTGAAGAGAAGACCGAGGCGCGGTGGTCGTGGCTGATGAAGAACAGCGCCATCAAGCTCGACCTGCTCCGGACGAACGTCGCCGCGAAGAAGAGGAACACCGACATGGCTTTTCTGATGGGCGGGGCGGACATGCTCCAGAGCGACGACGAGGAGTTCAGGGCGTGGTACATGGCGGAGCGCGGCCTCATCCTGAATCAGATGCGGACGGCAACGCCGACGACGCCGACAACGCAAGCTCCCGCGCCCACGACCAAACGGACGCCAAGCCCGAACGACGCCTCTACGTCGCCGCCCAGCAGTGCCGAAGCCGCGCCGACACAGCACCGAAACAGCTCCGACACCGCCGAGCCCGAGCACGCCGACTCCGCCAACTCCTGGAGCCGACCCCGCCGAGTGAATCATGCACGCGAACTTGCGGCGTGCGACGCTCTGTTTTTTGTAACGCCAGACTACGTCCGATCGCCGGATTTGTGGCGTCTTTTGAGGGTGGGAACGACCAAGTTTTAAATTTCTCGCATCCTGGGGCCGGCGCTTGGGGGCGTGACTGGGAGCTAGGTCGCCCCCAGAGGCCGAACTAGCGCCGGCACGCCCCCAAGCCGCTCTATTTAGGCGCCCTGGGGGGCCGAACGGCTGGAGATGCCCGAAGCAGGATTACAATCCAACCGGTGAACATTATCGAAAGTAGAAGGCGTGTATAGTTCAGGTGAAGACATCTTTTTCTCGTCTCACTCAACATAGGCCCTATTTGTTTGAGCTTTTGCTTTTGCTTTTGCCCTTTTTTTCACTTTGGTAAAAAGGCAAAAAAAAGCTTCTAAATAGGTGCCTTTTTATTCTGGCTATGCCTTATACCATTATATAACAATATTGATTCATAAGACAAAAACCGAAGTAAAAAGCCCCTATTTAGAAGTTTTTGTGGTCTTTTTTATCAAAGTGAAAAGGCTGTAAAAGAAGAAGTAAAAGTCCAAACAAACATGGCCATAGCACAACGGTGAACCGGAATATTTTGTTGGCAAAGTTGCTTACGCTAAATCAAACAAAGCATGAGAACGGCGGAGCATGGTTTGCACAACACAATTCAGACGGTTTCATATTTGCCTTGCCAAAGACCGGCAAGAACACCAAGCCATCTGCTCCCCAGCACCGTTGGTTAGAGCATCACCGAGATGGAGGAAAAACATAGGCAAATTTATTCGGACGCGACATCATCCCCTCCATTGATGCAACGCCTCTGAAAGAAACTAGCCTACCCTATCGCCTTGCCGGACAGAAGTGCCAGGGTCCTCGTCCAATCCCACCACCGAAGCGGCGGACAGGAGGGACGAGGACCCTCAGCAACAACGGCAGAGAGAGAGGCAGGCAAAAAAATCACCTCGGAATCGCCTTGGAGCGGTTCCTGATGGTAGTTAGCAAGACGTGCGCTGGAGGATGCGAACTTGGTGAGGAGGTAGCAAAGGCAGTGGTTTCTTGTTGAAGGTCTTTTGATCCAGTGGGATTTGTGTCTAGTGGTCGGCGCTTGGCACTTTTTTGGGTGACATTGGCATCATCCGTTGTAGTTGTGTTTGGTGTCTTGCAGTGGGATACGTGAATGGCGGCAGACGGCGACGTTCAGCTTCTTCAACCGTGTTGGATGAAGTTGATGGCGCTGAGATCTAATGGACACGGGGAAGAACCCCGGCCAACATGCCACAAAGCCTCGGTCTCGTCGATTGCGGCGGTCCGGTTCATCGGCTCGAAAAGCATCCTTATATGTAAGACACCTATGCATGCCTCATATGGTAACCGCATATTTACTCTCTGTAATAAGTTTGTGTACTAACGGAATATATGATTATTCAAAAAAAATTGCACTGCCACGTGGCAGGCTTCGTGGCCGGTCTCATTAGGTTTTTTGTTTGTTTTGTCGACGAGATCTTTGCAAGATTCTTTTACGGCGCCACGTGCGTTGCGCTGATAGGCAGCAACGGTTTTTTTTTTGGTTGACAACTTGACAGGCAGTCAAAGTAAACCTGATATGTAGTGTAGTGGACCGCTTGCGTGTGTAGGAAGAAGAAAAGCAACAAAGGGCCGTCGAGTGGGAAGTGCTCGTGGGGATTTTGCGAGCGGCGAGTGGAGAAAGTAGGATTTTGATAAACGCTTCGTCAGTTTTCCTCTCGTCCCTGGCGGCTGCAACCCTAGCCGCCGCCAGGGCCAATCTCCCAACGCCGTTCTTCAACGGCTCCCCTCCGCCGGCGACCTCGGTCGTCGGTGGTAAGGGGGGCTGCCGGATCCACGCGTGTGAATCGATTTTTCTTCTTTATAGTTTAGGTTTTTAGGTTGTTCATCGTCTTTGCTTCGGTGATGGTGATGGCGGCACTGAATAATGAATCTTCGGATCCTTCCCTGACGAGGCCATCGGTCGTATGGTTGGGGATGGATTTGGAAACCAGTCTGTTCAAGCAAGGATGGTGTGGCGGCGGCGGCATCCTTGTGGTGGGCCTGTGTCCTCGGGCTCCACCGTTGCGACGACATTTGCTCCAGCGTCGACGCGGAGCTTGGGAGGTAGTCCAGGAGCGGATGCAGATTGTGGTCTGCATCGACGACATCTGGAAGACGGAATATCTACTGGGTTTGTGGTTTGTGGATGGAAGGTATGGTTTCCTCCTTCGACGTCTTAGTCGTGGTGGAGTGCCAGATCTGGAGGTCTGATTCGTTCAACGGCAAGGGCTTCACTTTTGATGAGCCACTTTGGAGGTCCGCAAAGCTGCATATCAGCGATGGAGCCGCGTCGAGCTCGGATAAGGTGGTGATTCGTCATTCTTTTTTTGGTGGCTGCTGTGGTGGTGCCGGAAGCAGTTGACGAGCGTTGGTGTCAAGCTCAGAGATGTTCTACTATCTTTTCAGTATTGTCATGTCGGTCTTTATGTGATTTATACTTTGTTCTTTATGATATGAATGAGACATGTATTACCGTGAAAAAAAAAAACTAAGGGCCGTCGAAAGCGGGCGCTGTGGCCATCCGAACCGCAGGTGTGAAGTGAAAACGCACGGCACTACAAAGTTGGAGCACATGGCGCAGACGAGGTAGGGCGAGGATATGATTTCCGCCGTGGTGGACTCAGCTTCTAGTAGACCCACCGGGGGATAATCCCATTTCGATTTTAATATTACTACTAGGAAACGGCTGCAGCGACTCGGCCCCACCACCACGGCGGAAAACCCCCTTTCTATACTCGTCTGCTCCTCTCGTTCCCCTCCAAAACCCAAAGAGAGCCCTCCCCCTCGCCCCCCCACCCATCCATCGGCGGAGGCGGGCGGCATGGCGGTCTACGTTCCTGCCGCCGAGACCCCTGCGCTGGAGCTGGGCCCTCTCCACAGCTCGGTCTGCCTCGCCCCCGCGCTGCCCGCCGCCTCGCTGGAAGTTCCCGGCATGGTGCGGGCCGACGCCAGGCGGCCGTCGGAGGGCCCCGATCAGATCCCGGGCAATCCACCCCGCCGCATTGCGCGCCTCGTCCATCTGGATCCCGCGCAGCTCGCCGCGGTGACCGCGGCCCTTGGGCTCCACATCGCCGGCGGCGCAAGCCCGATCCCCTCTCTCGTGCAGCGCAGAGACGACGCCTCCGACTCCGACTCCGGCTCCGGCTCGAGCGGCGACGACGACGAGACCGGCCATCCTAATGACCGGCACCTCTGCTACCCACTCATCCGGTTGCTGGAAACAGGGGACGCCCGCATCTTCTTCCCCGGCTCGGTTCCAGACCTTCCCGGTGTTCCGCAAGGCGGCGGCCTGCACAGGTATATACCATAAGCGCCGACCATCGCCACCCCTTCGTCCTGAATGTCTGATTTGATTCCGCGCAATTTCTCCACCAAGTCCAACCTCACTGCTCCAATCATTTTTTTTTCTGGGCATTTGATTTGATTCCGTACGCTACGCACTCATCGTCAATCAATCCCATTTGGTAATGGTCAGATCGTGTCCGTCGTGCGATTGCGGTCCTTAGTTCGAGCAGTAGCGCTTTTGGGTTCCAACGTCAGCATTCATGGATGCTACTTCTGACGCGGTGGTGGAGTAGTTTTCAATGTCTTTCCTTTTCCATAAGCAGGTTTCCTTTCTATATTTCTGATGTGTCCTTTTGTTTGTGTTTTTTGGTCCGTGTCTGGTGTTTTTCTGTGTCCAAGACGAGCGGGGCAGGGAGCTTGCTAGTTGCTCTTAACTGATTATAGTCAATTGATTGGTACTAGTACACAAGTGCCTCAATCTATTCAACCAGGGACAGTCTTTGGAATAATAAATTACACTTGCCCAGTAATCATGCGGTTTCTTCCACCCCAAATGTTGCATCCACACATGTCCTGCAAATGATGATGTTCAAAGCAGGGTGCTTGCTTGGGGGACACAGCGGGCCATCAGCCATAACCTTATTTCGATTGATCCAGCCGTAACCCATCTTGCTTTCTGCTATCAACTATGCAAAGCAAATGGATATTTGAATGCATTTGTTTCCTGTCGATGCTTTCCAAACAATGTCAGAGTTTTACTTGGCAAACTACCCTCCGTGCATGTAGATTACATGTTTAGCGCCTTGGTACATCAGGGTTTGAGGCAATCTGAAGCCAGAGGGACACTAACCCTTCTGATCACAGTGTAGAGTTATTTTTTCTTAAGACTCTAAGCAAACTTCCATTGCCTACCTCTTTGCATACTTTCCTGTTATATGTCGGTTATGCTTGATCAAATTTGGGGCTAAATCTTTCGGTGCTTGGCCATGAAGCCATCTATAATGCCAAGAACATAAAGACACTTCATACCACGCTCTGATCTGTAACACCACATCCAGAATGGCTTTCACACCGTGATTTTTGTCTCCTGGGTCCTTTGGAAAGAAAGGAACAAACACATGTTCAATAGCTAAAGGAGAATGACCCAGGATGTTATCTTTGCCATCTCTGAAGAAAGGGTGCCGTGGAGGACACGAAGAGTCATGGAGTACTATAGAATGCTTGGCCGTGCGACCATCCTGTGCTTATTTGCTTAATGTATCTTTTCTTATAGGGTGATTGCCTGTTGCTGCTCTTCAGTGTATAGTTCTAGCTGTTTGTCTCTTGCTGTTGTATTGAATCTTTATGTTGTTGCTTGATACAAATATGGGCAGTTCCCCTGCCTGTTCTCTGCAAACAAAATTTTTTTGGCTCTATGTTGAGGCTGCAAATAAGACTTTCTCACTCTCGTCACAGTTCACAAGTTACCTGTGTACCTACCCAGAGCTTTTGCTTGTTATTTCTGTACACAAAGTTCTCTTCGTATAGAAAAATGTATTTCTTGAGGGTAAACTACCTACTGAATATTTCCTAAAGAAAATTTTCCTAGTGGATCCCCTGTCTAATGCAAACCACCAAGCTTTCTTGCTGATAATCTTATCGTGTGTACACCAACTCTTTGTTTCAACTGTTCTGGAGATTTTGAATCTCTACTATTATGGCATACACATAATACAATTTTGTATAACAAGTATTTGAGGGCGAAAAATATTCACGGGTGAGTGTGGGACCAAAAACAGCCCACCTGAACTCATCATTCCATTAGAAGACAGATAACAATTTACCGCCCGGGGGGGGGGGGTTCCTAGTTGGTTCACTACCAATTTCTACATTCATAGCAAAATCTTACAGCAAGGGAAATGTAGTTTGTTTTTTTGCACAATTTCTAGTTCAGTATGAATAGCATGTTAGGTGGTTTAAATCAGTGCAAGTGGTCCATAATATTTACATTGGTTTCCTAGTAAGTCAAAATTAGCAGATACGCAGAGAAGAAGAATACGTAGCAAAACAATGTTAGTTCAAGCCTTTCGGTAGGTGATAATACTTCCATTCTCAACATCAGTCATCACTACTAAATAAATAAAAAGGAAAAGATGCATATACATCACACTGATGCCTTGTAGAACATTGCAGACAGCCAGGGGGCTCATCACTGTCAGGTTATTGAAGCCGCATGTCATTAAAAAGCGTAGCAGTTATACAAATTGACCCGTTTCAAACCAAAAGACGGAGTTGTAATTTTTAAGCAAGGTCCTGCTTTAAACCAGGTACATTATGAAAACATATATTTAAAAATTCCAGCTGAAGCTAATAAATCCTGTTCTGTTTGTCTTTACATTATGAGGTTTCTTTTTGGTATACATCATGCAATGCATAGTTGAATTGATGTTCGTGGTGAGGACAATAGTGTCTTCAATGCTTTATGATTTATAGAAACTTCCAGAAACCTTGTATTTATGCACTTTTTTTTTGCGGGTGGTGTATTTATGCACTTTGAAGTAAATTCTGAAGTTTTAATCTTGACCATATTACAGGATATCCGATGCATATGGCAATCCATATATCCTCAAGGCAGGCACAGAAACCTTTGCAGGTCCTTGTGAGCTGACCAATGAAACGACAAGGACTTGGGTCATCAGGCTCAAAATCACTACCAAACTCGTTTGTTTAAGTAAGCAACAATTGCATGAGCAGAATTGGGAATTGTCTGAAGAATGCTTTGCAGAGGTAGCTGGGCAATCCTTAGAGAAGCTCCTTGAAGTTGCATGTTCCTTCAGTGATGCCAATTGGTCTGATGTCCATATTTCACAACAGCTGTCTGTTTTTGACGCACTTGTTGATGTCCTATTCAATATACAAGACCTACGTTTCAGCAGATCTGGTGAGGTTGCTGGTATTATTAATAAGATGGTGAATGCTTTCAAAGGAGTGATCGATGGGACTTCAAATGACATCCGTGGCAGCAAAGAATCCACCATCCACCCAGCAACTTTCGTTCTCATACAAGTCCTGGAATTCTTCTGTCGTAACAGAGATATGGTGCAGTCAATACTTGAATCTGGAGATTACAACACTGGCCCATGCTCTGACATGTTTTCTTGTTTGGCATCCAAGCTCAAGGAATGTGCAGAAACAGTTTTCCAACAAAAGGGACAAAGGTACATATTTGTGTTAAATAACATGTATTATGTTCTGCAAAAGAACCGCCATTCAGGATTACTCCCTCCGAATGTAGCAGCTACTTTGGTGTCAGTGATTGACCAATACGTGGTGAGCTACCTTGATGAGTACTGGTTTCCACCTATGCTGCTGTATCTGGAAGGGGATTCTCTGAAGAAGCCACGTCGTTCATCCCTGGATAATTTTATTGGAGAATTCTTCAGAACATGTAATGGCCAGATGACTTGGAAAGTTCGAACCGAGCTTAAAAACATACTACGAGAAGAGATAGTGAATTTGATTGTTCCAAAATACGTAAACTTCTCAGAGGTGCTGCAGGCAAATCCAAGGCGGTGCTGGTCGTCTTGGTTAAAGGGGATGTGGCGAACAAGATCTGAGAAGCTGGAGTGTACTGGTGCGGATTTGGCAAAGGTGATTGGAAGATTGTTCGAGAGATAACAGGCGGCAGGTAACACAGAAGAGAGGGCACACCAGGCTTATATGGGCGGGTGCATTTATCCTATATTAGCATTTAGAATGCATTTTGTTGTGATGTCTCCATATATGCGACATTTTCTGGTACGAGCCTGGTTGCTGTATTAGCAAGATTTAGCGCTGGAAGTTCCGGATAGAATTTAGTGTATGCTGCACATTACCTGCAGTTTTGTTTCTGTCCTATATATAGTTTTTTTTGTTACGTGTATGTAATATGTAGAGGAACTTCCAGTTTTGTTTGTGTAAAGTGTATAGATTTTTGTCTCTCTCTATCTCTCGAACACGCACGTGCTGCTAATGTTGGATATAGATAGCATGTTAGAAATGGTAAAAAAATAATGTTGCGGGAAGATATCTGACCTGGCTGGCCATTGTAGACTAGCTATTTTATACTGGGCCTGTTTGTTGTGGTGAATGAGCGGCATTGTACAATTGCTGATTCCTGTGGTGGAAGTGGAACTAATTTGAAATTCAATTTTTCGTAGATGTGTACATGTCGCAGGCTTTGTATGGTAGATGATGGAGCAAACCAGTTCAGTTAATTGGTGCTATATATAGTTTTGACTCGGGGAGAGAGAGATGGTTGAGAGTTCAAATTACAACACACTATGAAATTCAGAAACGCCCGGGCTTAGCAACAAAAGAAAACTCCACACCAGCTGGCCACCCGGCCCCACTAACGGCCACGCGACTCATGCATCTGCTGCTCTGTGAAGTGATAGAACCAGTTGCTCTGTGAAGACAAGGATTCGGTAGAACAGTTTCAGTTGTTATGACAACTGTATGTCCGGTTAGGGAGGCTGTGATTGAACTCAGAAGACCAGATCTTCACCCTATTCCCCTTGAGCTAAAAACACTTAGTCCTCGCCCAGTCACTCTGGTAAGTCTTCAAGGTAGACTTTTAAACCTTTACAGACTTCGCTCACCGGCGACCCATAATGACTCTTGGATCCTCAGAACGCGACGCCTAACCGGCTGAAGGATACACTGTCCTCAAGTATAATAAGTCTTCAGATCACATACATAGAAAGACTTCAGTGATGCCAAACACACTTTGGGCTCTATGTGTTTTGGGCTTTGTCCTAGCAAGGTTTCTCTCCCAAAGGCTTCAGAAGTGGGTTGCTCTCAAACGACAAAAGTCATGCACTAACTCTAAGCAGCCACTAATTTATGGTGTAGGGTGGACTATTTATAGCCAGGAGGCAACCCGACATGATATGTCCGAAATGACCATGGGTCACTAAGGAACCGAAATGTGTCAAACGGTCGGATTTCAAACACACGTGACAGCTTGACTTGGGCTACAAGCAAAGCTGACTCATCTAGCTCTGGATAAGATTTGCTCTTATTGTCTTTACTCGAAGACATAGGATTTGGGTTGAGCATCACGTTAGTCTTCTGACTTTGTTCACTTGGATCCAACTTAACAGTTCGATGGTTCCTATGACTCAAGAAAAAAAAAATGAAAGTACAAAAAAACTATGTCTTCACACTTCATAGTCTTCATGTGAATGTCTTCATACGTCATTATCTTCAACGTGAATGTCTTCACGAACCACCATTATCTTCATACATTTTTAGGGGTCATCTCTGGCAGGTAAACCGAATCAATGAGAGACTTCTATCTGTTTATCCTACAACTAGTAAGCTTGCACGTGTAATGCACGTCTCAGCTGACACATATAATCATATATATGATAACCCTACCTCTCCCCCACCAAAAAAAGAGATATAGAATAACCTTCTTGAAATTTTGAATTTCACACAAGTGTATAGTACTTAATTCTTGTCTCATACATAATTCAGAACATCATTCTTCATGAATCAGTATTCCTCTTGAATCAAATATCACACATATTTTATGTACAGATCAAGAAACCGAGTTATTCCATGTATAAGCTTTCTCATCTAAGGAATTAACCATATTAAAACATCTTGAGATTTGCTCCACTACTTTAACTTTATGTACCTGAACATTCCAAACGGAAATCAACCATTGTGCAAATACAAAACGTAAGAGCGTAAAAGAAATCACCATGTTTCAAGTTGCATCTCTTCACCCCCTCGCGTCGCCTCCCCGGGCAACGCCAGGGGACCCCAACCCTATCACCGCCAGGTCCCTCCCATATCCCCTCCTGCCGCCGCTGCCGCCGGCCTAGTCCGCGGTGGCGGCGGCTCGACGCCAAAGGGAATACATATTTATGTACATACATGGCAGTCCATAACCATGTTGATATCACGTCCATCACCCAATTCTCTTATGTTGAAGCAAGGTTACTTGCAAATTGCAATGCAACACGTAGTTGAGCGTGAACAGTTGGATGAACTGGCATGACCTGACTCAAAGCAGAAAGCGGTAAAAAAGAATCAGAGGTTCATATGAAAGTCCTAAGACAACAATAGCATCCCAAAGATGGAAAAGCAATCCGCATATTGTAGATATGAATATTTGAGAGCAGTGCTGCTGTTAGTCCAACATTCAAGGGCATGATCATAACCAATGTACTGTTAATAGGCTTGTAAATCATCTTTATTGATTTTTTTGTATTAGTCGAGAGTTCGAGACATGCATTGCGCAAGAAGACAAGACAACATGGTGTATATATAAGTATGCTTCAAATATTATCCAACATCATGTCTTTGTAACAATTCCTGTCTGCAATTAGAAGTTTCGCAAGTTGCCAATGCAAGTGTGGGCAGTAATCTGTTTCCACATTATCCAACATCATGTCTTTGTAACAATTCCATAAAACGATGGCACCAACCCGAATACAATATGTTTTCACATTAAATATTTCAAAATCGAGTGCAGTGCTGCACTCAGCATAGCCATGAAAAAAATAATGAGCGAACTACGGAGAAAATACCCCCACTGGGCTTCGTGTTTAAAATGATGACAAAAAATTAGAAAATAATATTTAGATGATGACTACTTCAATAATATTTAAAAGATGACAACAGGGAGGCATGTATCTTCACAACTTCACCACCCAGAATTTTTTTACAAACTACTCCCTCCATTTCTAAATTTAAGTCTTTTTAGAGATTTCAATAAGGTCTGCATACGGATGTATATAGACACACTATAGTGTGTAGATTCACTCATTTTGCTCCGTATATAGTTCATATTGGAATATCTAAAAAGACTATTATTTAGGAACGCTTGCTAGTTCCTTATGTGACTTCGTCTATGTAACAAAAAACTGTAGCTGGTCTAATTTTGGGAATCGGAGAAATGATAGTCAACATGGGATTGCAAATCACGATGACGAATTTGATCTGCCTCATCAAACACCAATATATGTTCCCTACGAAAGAAGTAATGATTTTAGATTGTCTACATCACATAATTTGGAATTTAAGATAAATTATAAATCAGGTTGTGTCCAATAATTTGGTCCTATGAGAATTGAAGTTAGGAGTCTTGCCCAAGTGCTGGACTCACTGAGCAGAAGTGCGAACTAAGATATTCAAATTGTTCCCATTTATTTGTCTTGCTAAATTTCGGTGCACTTAACAATAGCACCGCCACTAAAACTATTTGCTTTCCCCACCTTCTTGATCACATCCCAAGTTTGACCAGCAAAATCATTAGTGAGAAAGAGAATAATGCACAACCCACACCATCCTCAGACTCCATTTGTCCCATTACAGCTACCAAAACTAAATGTGGTAAGATACACTATCAGGGAACTGGAACTTTAATCATTGTTACCGGCGACATTTCTTTGCAGCGGCACTTGACATAACCATATGATGTGCTAGACAGTCAAGATGTAACGAATACCAATTCTCATAGCACAGTTTGGAGAGCTAAAAATCAAAATGAATGGAATCTGGCTTAACAGAGTGTGATGATTTTTTCAATAGAACCGACTGATCCATCAATGTTAGTGCTTTTTTTCTCTAATACGCCGGAGTGTGCGTATCATTTTATATAGAAGAGGGGGAACATCAATGTTAGTGTTAATCACACCATTACTTCATTTATTTTAGGAATACTGGAAACACATTATCGTACTGATTCCTTTGGACTGGTTGCCTCTGCAGCTTTGTGTGCTCGCTTTCAATGGTTCAACATGAATAGGATTTGAACAAAGGCCAATGTTAAATCTAGCAAAAAACTGAAAAAAATAAGATCATATATGGATGAACGAGGCACGGAGTATAAGATCAAGGAGAGGCTACGCCATGTGTATCACCGTCGCGTAGAGGAACAGCGGCAGCGACTTCCGTGTCCTCGGCTTTGCGTCACTGACCACGAGGAGGAACGGCCGCAGGGGCATATGCGTCCCTCACACAAGGTCGAGGAACAGAGGCAAGGATTCGTCGGCATATCGACATTTGCAAATGCCCCGCCAGAGAAATCCATTTTCGGGGCCGAGCCCGCTGTGTCCCACGCCACCACCGCTGCTCCAGGGAGGATGGACCCCGCCGCCGCAGCTGACGCAGGCCAAGTGCGTTGCGTCCGAGCTGTCACCGCTGCTCTACATGTATCAAAAATGAAATTTGCACAAGAAATTGGAGTAAAATCTAGCAGGTATTGTTTACTTCAGAAACCACAAGCTTCACCTCGTTAATACATTTTTCTAGAATTACACTACATCAGGCAAACTCGGCTAGCTACTGATCTGTACGACGGCAAAACTGAACCGAACCCCTAAACACATGGAGAGGATGAACAGAAAATAGAAAGGGGATTGCATCACCTTACTGCTGCCGTGTTGTCCACGGTAAGCACTGATCGACACCAAATGCATCCAATCAGCCAGAAAAGCACCTAATCTAAACCCCAATGGTCTGCATCAACGGAAACACGTGAAGATGCATATAGAAGCATCCACCACTACGGTCCCTACCTTGTAATCCCCGCATCCAACCAACCGGCAAATCTATCAAACAACACCAGAACACAAAGGAAGGAAGAATGAAGGAGGGAGCAAATAGATCGTACCAATCCATCG